AAATCATTAAACGGACTCGCAGTAAGTACAGATTACTGTTGATCAACATTGATGCAGTTTGTTTCTTATTATGAATCACATGGTTTTGACAGTCCGTAAACTTTACAGTCCTAAGCTTTATCGTAAATTCTTTTTTACTGATTTCATGCTAGTCTACTTACGAAAGATGTTCATAAACACGGAATGGCGAAATGTCGTACTTTCGGATTTTATTTGTATCAAAGAATTAACAAGTGACAAAATGAAATTTGATACTATGTTGGATTAACGCTATTGAAACCAATATTTTACTTCGAGGTATCCGAGTTTTTCGAATTTTCGGGGTTCGAATTATCAGAGTTTTATTTACTAAGATAAAGAACAGATTTGGCTGGGACCGGAGAAATACTTCGAGATAAACGGGGTCTTCGAGTTAAAAGAGTTCGAGATAACGAGGTTCGACTGTATGTATCAATTGTGTAATTGGTAAAGTTGTTACCAAACATCAAATAGTTCACAGGCTATATCCTTCTGCATTTAACCTAGATTTCAGTCTGTTTCACCCAGTTCAGTACCCGGTTTCTATGGTTACTAATACATAAAGTTGTATTTATTGAAAATGTGTAAAATATCTGTTCATTCTAATTACAATAATTTCGATGTTTTTTCCATTTGATTCAGCATACAGATTAAATTAGCAAAGTCAGTAATGTCAATAAATTTTGTTTTCATAATTACAGCTGAAGAAAATGTTGTTTTTTTTAGCAAAATATGTTAAATGAACAATTTCTGAGATTTACTGTCAATTCTAGGCGAGGAAAGTAAATAACGGTTGCTATGGTGGCACTTGTTTGATGTTCCATAATATCTGACATTTTGGTGCTGTTCATCGGTTACGGGAAGTGTGTCTGTCGTTATTTTTTTGTTGTGATGGGTTTCCTAGTGCTAGTTTTAATATCAGTGAGCCTTGATGATATCATAGATGTCCTTTGATGACGTCATAGTTATGATGACATCACAGTTACTATGACGTCATCGAATAAGACAGAAACATCATAGTATCACTGTACTGTTTTGTTTTTCACATGATCTCTAAGCATCATATTTCACCCAAAAGAAATTTTATTCATGAAAACTACGAACCTATTCAAGTTTTAATTTTTTTAGAGCAGAATTGGTACAAATTCCCTGTCAGGAGAATTCATATTACTCGGTCACTTTTAAAGTGAGAAAGGAAACGGATACATATATTTGTTCATGGTGTCATTTTCCAGACATTTAAAAAGTTTTGATTAAATTTTGGGAAAAAGAAGGTGATGTACAATGTATAATGTAGCAGTGTACAGTAGCGTACGGTGGTCATGGGTGATATTTTTGTACAATGAATAACCCCTGTAATATTACATGTATCAAAACTTTAAAAAAATATCAGCTCTAAAATTGGCATATACATGGTGAATTGGACTATGTGGGCTTTACATTAAAAAAATCGAATTTGGCTTGAGACTACATTTTTGACCATTTACAAATCTGTGTCCTCACAACAAAAGCTAGCTTTTCTTGTAGTCTATTTTTGTCTTCAAAATGTAGTTTATAAATATATATATATATATGTAGGTGTGTTGTGCAGGATGAATCCGCTATTCATGTTTATCCGAGACATGCCCTTTATTTTTAGGGTCAATCCATTTCTACTGTACTCTGCTATCTTACCACACACATGGGGTTCCGTAAACCCTTACAATATCTGGGAAATCATAATATGCCTTCACAGGCGGTGCTTTCTGAGACTGATTTTATATGATAAATCGATAAAATATCGATCAGCATGTTGTTTTAAGTTTTTTCGTGCATAATTTATTTAAATGTTGGTAACTGCTTGAAGTCGGTTAAAATGTAACATATGGCGTATTAGGTTTCAATCTCTGATATATATGTGCGGCTAAAACAGTACAGAATGTGCATCGTTATCTTATTAGCCGACACAAATATACTCAACACGCATTGATACACGGCAGAGTTAGACGTAACTGCAATCAAGTAAGTAGACATATTCATGTGATTTGTTTTAATGGTTTTAGTTTTTACTCTCAATGTACTATAAATAGAAGCCATAAAAGGCAAGGCTTTGGAAACACCGTCGACTGTGATGTAGTTTAATAATTATAAAATTAATTCCAACTACTTCACTACAGACAAATAATGGCGAACTTTCACAGCAATGCACCTGTGTGTAATATTATCTTTACAATTCCTGTTTAGGAAAAATCTATATATCGTGATCCAGGTAACAATATCATCAATGAACGATTTGTCACTATTACCATGTTGTAAATATCAAGCTGTTTATTACTGCTCCATCAAACTCTTCTAATTAAGGTGGTTAGGTGGTGAAGTGGTAAGAACGGAAGACATGTCCAGGCTATACGACTGTGTACCGAAGGGTAGCCAGTTCGAGGCTTAGGGTAGCCAGTTCGAGGCTTAGGGTAGCCAGTTCGAGGCTAGGACAGTGAAAGAGAAATATTTCTATATCATTTATTGAAATAATGAGCACAATGTATCATATACAATGATGTATGTTGATCCGAAGCTTGAGGACAATAACTTCCCGTCGTAATTGTACTATGCGTAATACGTAACAGTATTTGTACTGTTCCTATCCATGAACATATTGATACATTGAGATCCAACTACATGTATCATGTCATCAACATGAGATTTGTCACTATGACCAGAGCCATGAAACACACACATCCTTGGTTAGGTGAACACTGCAAGTCTCAACAAATAACTTGCGGGTAAGTTACCGACAACACTCATATTATGTTACATTTATTATTCTCAATTGCTGATCGTAAACTTCAGGTACGTCGATATACAGAATATTTCTCTCTTGTTTCTATTTTTGTCATGCACGTGACTGTATCCACCTCATTTCTCTAAATTTATATCCGCGTATTTATTTAGGTTTTATACATAATTTTGTATTTATTACAATTCGTTTTTTATACTTTTGGTACTCCGAAGGTAAATTTTGTCCATTTCAGTTTCTTTGCCTTTACAGCAGCAGCATTCCGGACATATTTTGCAAAAGGAAATGCCCTTGACCCTTATTCAAGGTCACAGGGGTCAAATTTGTTAAAACTCTTGAACATATTTCTTCAATGTCATGTTGAATAGCTGTTTTAGCCGTGTTTAAACAGAGTTATTGCCCTCTGCACTTCATTCCATCTGTGACATCCCTTGAGGTGTCACCCCACTAGTATGAAAGTGTAGTAGGGGAGATAACTATGTTATCGTTCCTCGGAACGAAATGATAACACGGCTAAATGCAGCTAATTTGCCGCATACATACAATATGTATATCAGCGATTTGAGTATGAAAATAACGGCTCAATAACTTTTGCTGAAATTTTCGTGTTTGGAGAACTCAGTGCGATCTACCTCCTTGTATGTCTATAATATCTGGGGGGGAAATCTAGTCATGGATATATTTGGGGTCAAACATGCAAAAATCGACATTTTGACCACTAGTTTCTGTATAATTCACCCTCGAGAAATAACGCTCAAAACTGACGAAACGAATCTCCAAACATAATTAGTCCAAGTAATTCTGAAGAAAATAGTATATTCAATTTATCGATATCTTTCAGAGAACGACCACAAGAGGGTTTTAAAAATGGAATGTATTTCTGGGAGTTCATGGAATTTTTCAGAAGATCCGATTTTCCGGGTCCTCCTTAAAAGCGTTTTCAACCCAACAAACATCTTCAAGTGACAACAAACATCGCCAGACAAAATCGATAAAAATACTGAACAAAGTAAGCGACATCAGTAGATATGTTGTTGATATGACTACAGTTTGTATAATACACCTTTATACCAAATTTCAATTTGATATTTGAGAAACTGACCGAGTAATGATTAATTGAATTTGACGATATGTGGCGTGGCACGTATGTGTATTAACCTGTACAGTTAGAAAGCATCGCCAGACAATATCTTCAAACATTCTTACTAAAGTAAGCGACATCAGAGTATTGAAACTGTTGAATGGTATAAAGTACCTAAACCCTGAATTCGATCGGGAACTTCATAAGTTTGAAACTTGATCATGCGCGATTCATTGGTTTGCAAAAGTTGCTTTTCAATCTTTTTTTGTAAAACACCCCGCGCCTGACCAATATGTCTCTATACGCGTTCTATACGACTCATCAATCTTTTGTGAGATAGCAATGGATTTTATATTAAATATCATATCAATTAACTTTTCTTGTGTTATTTTGTCATTGATTACGCATAAATTGATCATTTTAGGGGCAACATCTTGTTTAAATATAAAATAATACAGACGTCTCATTGTTAACGTAATTGCTTATACCATCTGGCATGTCAGTGAAACAATGTTAATAAAGCAATATGATCCGGCCTGGCCGTGTTCAGCTATACGTCCGAAGTCCTACGTACATGTAGACATATGTGACACGCCGATAGCTTCATACGTGTAGTCATAAAACTTAAATACCTCACGATAACTCGGTCATATTTTTAAACATCAAAGTGAAATTTGGTATAAAAGTGTGTTATAGTTGTATGAATAACATATCGTCCATATATTATGAGTCATTATCAGAAAATGCCACATTTTTTGGAACCCATGACCCCAGGTTGCAGAGTCCAACGCTCTACCACTGAGCTAAAGGGACATGTCCTGTCAGCTGACTGACATAACCACTATTTGTACATACATGTACATGTACAACCCAGATCTTTCACACTAGTTTGTCATTACATGTAGTTCAAGTTACCTTTGTTACAAAATGATTTTTTTTTCATTTAACAACATCGATAACATCAGTTTTTACATAACTCAGGTGACCGTTAAGACCCATGGGCCTCTTGTGATGATATGTTGTTGTGTTTCCCCGAAAAGAATTTTGATTCGACAGTTTCGAAAAGTTATTGCCCTTTGTTTATTTCAGTATTTGATTTTTGTCCGTCGATCACCTCCTTCATTTTTCAACCGATCTTTTTGAAACTTGGTATACATTATAATCATGATATGAAGTTATGTTTTCATGAAAAAAACATTTGATTCATTTATTGTTGCAAAAGTTATTGCCATTTGTTTATTTCAGTATTTGTTATTTTGTCCAGAGATCTCTTCCTACATTTTTCGATCGATTTCTTTGAAATGTGGTAGGCTTTATAAACATGATGTGTTGTTGTGTTTGCACAAAAACAATTTTGATTAGATTATTTTTGCAAAAGTTATTGCCCTTTGTTTATTTCAGTATTTGATTTTTGTCCGGCGATTTCCTCCTACTTTTTTCGACCGATTTCTTTGAAACTTGGATATCGTTATAGTCATGATATATAGTTATGTTTCCTCGAAAAAACATTTGATTCGACTAATTTTGCAGAAGTTATTGCCCTTTGTTTACTATATGGCATTCGACGGTCTCAAATTGTTCCGCCCTGTCCATGGTCCGAAGGTAAATTTTGTCCGCTTCTTTTTCTTTGCCTTTACGGCAGCATCATGCCAGGCACATTTTGGAAAAGGAAATGCCCTTAACCCTTATTCAAGGTCACAGGGGTCAAATTTGTTAAAACACTCGAACAATGTCTTCAATGTCATGTTGAATAGCTGTTTTAGCCGTGTTTAAACAGAGTTATTGCCCTCTACACTTCAATCCATCTGTGAAATCCCTTAATTTGTCACCCCACTAGTTTTTAGATCCAGGTTGTTGCTTTCTTTTTTCAATTATTAATAGCATGTTTTAATTCCAGAGAGTAACGAACAACGACCTCATTCTATAATGGCGGACCTGAGCTACATTTCATGTCCAAACACTGCCTATATCCGGTACATGTCAATACCGGACGTGTTGCAAGAAAGGACGAATGAGGCTCCAGAAAAGGAAATATGCGTTCAGAGATTTGTGGGAGGCGGTAGGAGGTCACTGACGTATGCTGAACTGTTAAACAGGTCAACATATATTGCCAAATATCTTACCGCTAGAGGAATTGTGCCAGGGGACTGTGTGGCCATTATTGGTCTCAACTCCATCGAGTGGATAATAGGCGAGTTCGCAATCTTCCTTACAGGAGCAGTTGCTCTTCAGGTTAACAAGACAGATGAGTCGTTCGTCGAGACGATGAAGTTACTTAAGTCTACACAGAGCAAGGCTGTGTTGCTTGATCCTGAATCGGACGAAAAGTACATATCAGATTTGGAAGCCTACTTCACTATCGAGGAATCGCCAAAAGAAAAACCGATAGTTATGTTGCTACATAAATCAGCACTGTCCTCTCTCCCCTCGATGGCTGAGGTTAAACTGACAGCTGAAGAGGAGGTAATTGCATTGCCAAGAATACAACCAGAGAGTAGTGCCTTCATTTTTACTACTTCTGGTTCGACAGGAGTTCCAAAGATGGTCGAGATGACTCATTTGTCAGTGGTGAATGCTTCCTATATCCCTTTTGTAGGAACAGGAGGAGATATGCCATACGGTACTTGCTACAACGACCGACCGTTCTCCTGGTCAGGAGGCACTCCGATATATAGTATCCTTAATGGTAATAAGCGAGTGTTTGTTGACACAGCGATAGGCATGAAGAAAGAAAACATCATGTTGATATGGGATATCATCATGGCTGAGAAATGCACAAACGCCGTCTTCCTCCCTTATGCCTTGGTCGATCTCATTGCAAATCTTGACGCCATCCTTAAACACGGCTATATCATGTACTCCATTAGTACAGGTTCACAGAATATCGGCAGTCATCTCACTGAAATATGTGGTAAATGTACAAAGAAGTTCTTCATGGATTACGGGTCTACTGAAGTTGGAGACGTGTGTTCTATCGAACTTACTCCAAAAATGGAGGAAGGCAATGTCGGATCGCTGTTTCCAGGATATGAAGTCAAGGTTATCGGAGTCAATTGTGAAACACTGCATCGTGAACAGCTGGGTGAAATCTTAGTGAGATCTCCATGGATGCTAAAATCATATCGAAACGCTCCTGAACTGAACACAGCTTCCTTTGTTGATGGGGGCTGGTTTCGAACCGGAGATATTGGGATCATTACCAACGACGGCAAGCTATTTGTGAAAGGAAAATCTAATGACGTTATTAAGCGTGGAGGCTTGAAGGTTTTGACCAGCGTGGTTGAAGCAGCGATGCATAAACTCCCGTGTGTAAGGGAGGTCGTAGTGATCTCGGTACCGGACAAACGGCTTTTTGAGGAGGTGTGCGCCTGTTACATACTGAAGGATTATGTGAATGCATCAGAAGATGAACTTGACCAGAAATGTCGAGCAATCCTAGGGGATAATGTGTTGGGCAGTACACCTACCTACTTTCTCAGGTTTGATGCGTTTCCGAGATTGAGTAATGGTAAGACTAACAGGATCCGTGTAAAAACACAAGCCCTGGGAAGATTGGAACTCGATTTAATTAAGTAATTAATGGCAGCTGCTGGTAAAAAAACATTCTTGATTTTTTTATTTGTGCGCAAAACATTAAATACTTGATAATTACAATATATACACCATATCTATTCAGATTCCCATATACTCTTGTTTTATTAGCCTTCACTGCATTAAGGCGCTTTTCGCCTTTCAGGACATTTTTGAATATTTCTTTATGCACTTTAGAAACTTTCCCCTTTTGTTCGTTGCTGCCACAGATGAGTGCAAAGCGAACGGAATAGACATAGAAGTGCAACGATTATTTACCTTGTTTGATAATTTCGTGAACGAGTTTTGGGCGTCTCGTAGTTGACTACGTTTCGTAAATATCTTTCTTTACTAGATTGAGGTAGTTCTAATTACTTGCAGACTATCAGTCCCTGTAATACGCAGTAATATTAAGCTTTAGCGGACGACATGGAGTTGGACTAGTAACAGGATCATTCTCGGTAACGAGAATAAATTCGCGGATGTTTGATCGGGCAGCAAACGAAAAGTAAGTGACAAGACTCATCAAAGAAAAGAGAGATGCTATCTTTAAAGAAAATGTTAAAGCAGTATTGATGACACCACAACAAAAGAACTTGTGATGCACAAAAAATCAACAATATGGCTGTAGCTATGACAGCAAAAAGTGCATCTCACCTCTAGACAGATAACGTCAGTGACTCTTAACCTGGACGACGTCAAACCAATAGTTGGCAATCGTTACTTAATATCTATGCAAAATGCGATTCCAACCTTAGCGGCCCGAAATTATGTTTTACTGTTCCTGGAAGATGTCAAACATTCTGTCCAAACTGGATACATGAATACTACAGTCCAGGTAGAGGAAGCTGGATACATTGATTCTACAGTCCAGGTAGAGGAAGCTGAATACATGGATTCTACAGTCCAGGTAGAGGAAGCTGAATACATGGTTTCTGCAGTCCAGGTAGAGGAAGCTGGATACATAGATTCTACAGTCCAGGTAGAGGAAGCTGAATACATGGATTCTACAGTCCAGGTAGAGGAAGCTGGATACATGGTTTCTGCAGTCCATGTAGAGGAAGCTGGATACAATAATTCTGCAGTCCAGGTAGAGTGAGCTGGATACATGGTTTCTGCAGTCCATGTAGAGTGAGCTGGATACATGGTTTCTTCAGTCCAAGTAGAGGAAGCTGCATCTGCTTTGCTCAATTTCCATGTGTGTTTTCCACTATTGATACAAGCAAAATTAGCAAATTCACCACTGGACATGGACGTTTATAATCAGTGTGCTGTGAACAAATTGGAACGATGGAGTCGGGATCCTTCAGGACTGATCACAGGAACAGAAAGAATATGGCATGGTGCGAAAGGTCGATCTGTATATGATGACTACATGGAAAGCATCGCTGTGAAATTTGCCAGGAATGACTTACTCATATCCTTGATGAAAGGTTAGTTGATATTCAATATTTATTGATTAATTAAAACACATTTTTTTATTAAAAAAAAAATTCAAGTAATAATGTTTGTAAATGTCTCCAACACCTGCGAAAATGTTATACAAAATTTCGACCAGTATTTGCCCAAATTTACCCCATTCATTTTGAAGGAATTTTGTCATATGTGTAAATTCTGATTGTATTATATTTTATCACAAACTTGATATTCTTATTTAACAGAAATGGTACAGGCTGGGGGAGCAAAATTGGTAAGCCATGCTGAGGAACACCTCCCAGATGGTATATATGCTAATCCATCAACACAGGCCATTTCTGCATTCAACTCAATAGGAGATGTGACCAATGACATCATCGAAAGCACATTTGGAATGACAGGTAATGATTGGGCTTATGTATATAGAGATTGTCCGTTACATAAAATTTAAAAAAAATGATCATCTTTATCCGGCAATAAGCCCATGACAGTCAATAAGCCCACCAATGTGCATTACAATACAGTACTACATCATACTTAAATAATAAACCTTTGATACTTTCTAAGAATCGTTTGGGTTTTTTTCTTTCTTTTGTTCTTTGTTATGTGGTAATTTATATATTGTGTTCTTCATACGCAGGCAGATGATGATAGCGCAATATTCAAATCCAGCTTATGTGTCCAGTTTGATTGCTGTAAAGCGAGACAAGCCTGTGAACTGGATCTTCTATTCCACACTGGATGTAGACAAAGTTTGCGAAGTTGCCATGAAAAGTGCTAAGAGGAAACGTTACCAAAGACAGGTTTATTTCTGTATGGCCGCAAAGGCTTGCTCTAATAGCTAAACGTCGCAAAAGAAGGATGAGGAAAGCAAAAAGACTGAAAGATAATTTGAATAGGGCCAAGACTGAAAGGTGTAGATGCTGCAAGACTTTAAAAAATCTCAAAAAAAATAAAGCAATACGTATTGTGGATATCGCAATGTACCGTTAATCCAGTTCAAAGTGCTAATGTGTTAAAAGGGCTCTTAAAGAAAAAAAGAAAAAACCTGAATTGTATTAAGTGATATCTCAAAGTCAGCTCCAGCTCCTTGTATTGCAAAAAAATGTAAATGTAGAATTAGGGGACTAGTCGTTATCGGACGATGACACAATCAACATGTTCCAGCCATTGGTGACTTTCCAGGGACAGGACAGGGGACAGAAGTTCAGAGGATGAAGATGCATTGTATGACGTTGTTACTTTGGCTTCTAAAAAAGCCAAGTTTTAAATTCCATGTTTTTGTCCTGACTTTTATACATGTTTGAACAATGTGATGACTGTTACTCCAAATCATGGATGTGTCTTTATGCGGAAATATATTTTGAAATTTAAAAAAGAAAAGAACATTTCAATATTTAACAAATAATTGAGTAAAACATGATAACTTTTTTTTAGATTTAAATCTAGAAAGAAATGCATCAGAATAAGACCTTTAACTTGTTGACATATCAGGCTATCATGTAAAACATGTTTTGATTGGTAATTAGTTCAAAGTAACTTACTTTTTTTACTTTTTGGCCTTTTTTGAAGAGTTACGCCCCTTAATTTTTCTAAAATTGTTTTGAGAGGGTACATTTATTTCGTATTTTAATATTTTACATTTTTTTCTTCTTGTAGTCCACATATGAACCATATTCTTCAATTTTAATATAACTTCAAAAGGATTTATGAATATTTTTGAAAATGTGCCAGGACCACTTTGGACTGTCATTTTTTTATCAAGTGATTTGTTAAAATTGTGAATTTTGATAATCATTTATGCTGATAATAGCCTTACTTCGGTAATTATTTTAGTATTTGTTGAATGTATATATGTAAATCAGTGTATTTAGAGGTGATGGCTACGGTAGATGTGTGATCAGTGAAATTATGACCTGGCAAACATCCAAATTTAATCAGTCTATGCGATGCGATAATTTGCATTTATAGCCATTTTCTTATGTCCACAACATAGTCATATTGGATTTATTGTCAGAAATAAAACAGGTATTAAACTTTGAAAATGGCAATTTGTTAAAAAATATTATATACCGTGGGCCTCCCTAACTACTTACTATTATTATTCTTTCTTTCGGTTTCTTCCACCTGGGAGGTGTCCAACTCATTTCTGAAAAACTGTTGAACGGAACTAATTAAACTTTACGCGAGTGTTCATCATGGTAAGGAGGTGTGGAAATGAGTTTTCATTTTCCGATCGGTCAACAAAGATGGCCACCACGGCCTCTGATTGGTCGAAATTAAATATATATTAAATTGGCTCATATTAGGTATGTATGTGTATTTTGGCACTGTTAACTAAGCCGCGACATCCTTTTCTGTTTCGACAATTTTACCTCGGTATTCTAGCTTCTGATTGGTCGAAATTCAGATATTGTTCGATTTTTTTAAGACTGCAAACTCAACTGAGGTATCGGATTTCTGATTCGACAAAATGGCTGCCATATACTGGCTTCTGATTTGACGGAACTTAGATATTGTTCGATTTTATTCAAAGATGGGGTCAATAATTGGCCCCACATTAATTTCTTTTCTTCTTTTTTGCCATATGTAGAAATATAAAATGATCAATAACTGCATAAATGATTATTCATAATTACTACTGATAACCGTAGTGGACCTCCTTGCATAACACCAGGTTGAGTGACAGATAAATGTCACAGACGAATGTTATTTTGAAAATGAATTATGATAGTGTACAGTGTATACAATTACTGTTATTTTGATGCTAAATATGCCATACTAGAATACATAAAGTAAGGGTAGTGATACTATTAATTAGAATATTTTTTAACAAATTTTAAAATATAACCAACATTGTCAACTTGCCTAAATACAGTTGCAATAATTTATACTTCCTTAAAAACTTTCCATATATATATTCTGTCTACAGAATCATTTTTATGTAATATCAAAAGTACTTGTTTAGCATCCCAAACATGTTCAATGCCAAATTTCACATTATCATGGAGATTTGATTATCAATGTTTATTATGGTAAATACCGATACATTTTCTGCTTTTTGTATCATTCCAAAACGCTTTGTTCTTTTACGAATGTTTTTAAGTTATGCGCAGCAGTAATACCTCACGAACATGTATTCTGCCAAAGTAGTTTTTCCTCTGGAGAACTAGTTCAGGTTGAGATTGTGTTTTAGACAAAGATATGCAATAATAATAAAAACAATAAAATAATCTAAAGAGTAAAACTATTATACAATTTAGTATGCCCCCCCCCCCCAAAAAAAAAAAACCAAAAACGACTGTAGGTGTGTGTGTGGGTGGGTGGGGGAGGGGGGTTGCTGGAATCAGCTTGTCCGTAGTAAAAGTTTGTCCGGACAACTTCTAAAGAAATGGACCAATTTCAACGAAAGTTTCCAGATATGATAACTATCACCTGGAGTTTTGCATCCGGGTATTTCTTTTTCATGCTTGCCCTTTTTTACCAAAGTTATCGCCCTTTGTTGAAAAATACTTGTCTGGAAATTTCCTCGAAAACTAAGGGGTCAATTTCGATGAAAGTTTTCAGATATGATAACTGTTACCTGATGTTGTGCATCCAAGTAATATTTTTCAATCTGACTATTTTTTACGGAATAATGGCCCTTTGTCGAAAAATAATCGTCCAGACAACTCCTCCAAAACCATGGGGCCAATTTCAACGGCAGTTTACAGATATGGTAACTGCCCCCTGACATTGTGCATCCAAGTAGAATATTTTCATTCCGACCATTTAAAAATGAAATATGGCCATTTGCTGTTAAGTAAAAAAATAAAATGTTTCGACCCTTTTTAAGGAGTTATGGCCCTTTATAATAAAACTTTGCTTGACAACCCTTCTTTAACTACTAGGACGATTTCAGCAAAACTGGTTCATCTGGGCAAACAAGATTTGGTATGCAAATATATTTTGGCATGGGGAGGGTGTATGGCAGTGTCCTATATACTTAATTAGCTACTGGTGGAAGATTATGGATTGCTTTGTAAAGCTTTGCCCATTGCCCATTCATTCAACACAACTATTGATACCAAGATAATAAACGGTCATTCGAGTTTTGAGTTGAAAAAGAACAAGATCTTGCAATAACTCTTTGTTGTAATACCCATTTTGAATTTCGTTGTCCAATACAGGAATATGATAAACTGAAGGTTAGTAAATCAAACATAAGTATGGAACACGTCATTGTTCGCGACGTCACGAATAATCAATTTCAGGACATTTCAAGGTCAGTTTTTCGGACCGTGGTTATACCGTCACAATTCATTTTGATTTACCAATCAAATGCCGTGTTAACACTCAAATGAATTAGAATTCAAAATACCTCTTGTTTGTCCGGCATCTCTAGTCATGGGGGTAGCGGAACGACTGATATATATGTAATATAGTCCGACTCTCTAACCAAATGATCTATATGATAACCGTTTTGAGACTATTCGCCTTTCCAATAGTATTTCGCGATTGAGTGGTCTCCCCTTTTATGCAATAAAATCGCATACATATCAAAGTAACGACAGTCTGAAATGGTCGAATATTTCCATTATAGCATCAAAAACTATTCTCTCGGTGGAAATGTTACGTAATAATATGATTAACCAGTAACCATAAATTGTACTCTGGATTCTTTTGTCATATAAAACAGGTGTAATAAAAGGCTATTGATTATTAAAATATATTAAATAAATGTTGATCTAAGTGTCCATGCCTTTGTAACGGTCACTGGTTTACAAATTATACAATTTTCGGCATTTAATTTATCTTTTATAAGCTATATTAGCAATAAGTAAATCAACTATACAGTGGTCTTCAAATGCCGTACAAATTACAACAGCTTAGTGCTGGCAATCCGTGATTAGTTTCCAATGGTACTATTTGATATTAGCAAAGTACTTTAAAGGTAATTTGTCTATTTGTCACCGTTAACATTGTACGGATATTGCCTGCTAACATTTGTTCGAATTCATTGTAAACAAAGACACCAATGACAACAGTATCCACTTAATAGAAATAGGCTTTCAATGTATCCTCAACCGTGTCGATATCTTACCACACTCGAATAAAAAGGTTTTGAATGACAACTGTATCCACTTAATAAAGGAAGGTTTTCAGTGTTAACTCAGCCGTGTCGATAGCTTACCACACTCGAATAAAAAAGGTAATAGGAATAGGCGTACAGTGTTAGCTCTACCTTGACGATAGGTAACCTCACACGTGTACGTAAGGGTTAAGGTCATATGAGTGTATTGATAAACGGAAATAGGAAGTACATCCCTCGTTGAAAATCCAATGTAGGGATACAGTATCACAATTTTCGCATATTCTAATGTTTAATATTAAACTGATGAATATTGTATGCTTATTATTGACAGAACAGTGTGTTCTCTCAATATTAATTAAGTATTGCAAAGCAATCCAGGCATTAATTCAGTTGTTTTTTAAACAATGAGTCACATGTGTCCATTTTTCTGTACTTCAGGAAACCGGCTACCTATTTCACTACTGTGAAGTTTTTCAAGAACGATAACTCTTGCATGCAATAACTATGTGTATATGGTTTTATTATAAAATGCCAATTTTTAATCGTATATAGATAATTAATATTACACAATTTCAATATTTATGAAATTGATTTACATTAATGCAATACTATGTTAGTATCATTTTTATTGACATTACTTTGCAACAAATTGTGTGTTTCATTTTTTTTTCAAAATTCACTCCTTTTTCAGTAATTACCATTCAAAATCCTTAAAATTCTGACAACCTATATTTTTTTTGGTGGCAGAAAATTTTCTTTACTGCAAAGCAATATAACTACAAAATTTGAATAAATTCTACTGAGAAATGGCGACACAATCCTATTACCTTAAGTGAGTAATATCCTCGATACGCCAAGGGGTTACGCTCACTTACTCTTTCTGGAATATGTCATGAAAAAATCAACGGTTCAGTGTGGAAGACCTTGCGAATGATACAAGTAGTCTGATCCTGTGATGTTCATCAGAAGAATTCAATGGCAACTTTCGATGCTCACTTAACCCTGAAGAAAGTTTACTAAACACGTGTAACAAGGCGGTGAGTGTTACCAAAACCTTGACAATCGCTTACCACACAGGTAAGTAAGCAGCCGATGCTCCCAAACCATGACAGTTTAACATACACGTGTAACAAGGCGTTGAGTGTTATCAAAAACCTTTGAAAACAACCAAATGTCTTTCAGGTGTTTAATGTTACGCAGGTGAAAGAAAAACCGTCTATAAGGCGTTTAGTGTTATCAAACCTTTAGCTAACCAAACATCTTGGAGGTCTTTAGTGTTACAAAATCTTGAATATAGCTAACCATACATATTGGAGGTGTTTAGTGTTACCAAACCTTGACTATAGCTAACCAAACATCTTGAAGGCGTTTAGTGTTACCAAACCTTGACTAGCTAACCAAACATCTTGGGGATGTTTAGTGTTACCAAACCTTGACTAGGTAACCAAACATCTTTGGGATGTTTAGTGTAACCAAACCTTGACTAGCTAACCAAATATCTTGGACGCGTTTAGTGTTACCAAACCTTGACTCGCTACCCAAACATCTTGGAGGCGTTTAGTGTTAACAAACCTTGACTATAGCTAACCAAACATCTTGAAGGCGTTTAGTGTTACCAAACCTTGACTAGGTAACCAAACATCTTTGGGATGTTTAGTGTAACCAAACCTTGACTAGCTAACCAAACATCTTGGGGATGTTTAGTGTTACCAAGCCTTGACTAGCTAACCAAATATCTTGGACGCGTTTAGTGTTACCAACCCTTGACTAGCTAACCAAACATCCTGGAGGCGTTTAGTGTAACCAAACCTTGACTAACTAACTAAACATCTTCGTGGCGTTTAGCGTAACCAAACCTTGAGTAGCTAACCAAACATCTTGGGGATGTTTAGTGTTACCAAGCCTTGACTAGCTAACCAAATATCTTGGACGCGTTTAGTGTTACCAACCCTTGACTAGCTAACCAAACATCCTGGAGGCGTTTAGTGTAACCAAACCTTGACTAGCTAACCAAGGTTTGGTAACACTAAACACACCCAAGATGTTTGGTTAGCTACTCAAGGTTTGGTTACGCTAAACGCCACCGGATGTTTAGTGTTACCAAACCGTGACTAGCTAACCAAACATCCTTGAGTCGTTTAGTGTAACCAAACCTGGACTAGCTAACAAAACATCTTGGAGGCGTTTAGTGTACCCAAGCCTTGACTATAGCTAACCAAAAATTTTCGAGGTGTGTAGTGTTACCAAACCTTGACTATAGGAGGCGTTTAGTGTTACCAAACGTTGACTAGGTAACCAAACATCTTTGGGATGTTTAGTGTAACCAAACCTTGACTAGCTAACAAAACATCTTGGAGGCGTTTAGTGTACCCAAGCCTTGACTATAGCTAACCAAAAATTTTCGAGGTGTGTAGTGTTACCAAACCTTGACTAGATAACCAAACATCTTTGGGATGTTTAGTGTAACCAAACCCTGACTAGCTAACCAAACATCTTGGATTACCAAACCTTGCCTAGCTAACCAAATATCTTGGACGCGTTT